GTTTTGAGTCGTCCTTGTTTCGACAGCTCTGAGGATCTCTCTAAACCGTCCGACGCCTCTGGTCAGGTTCCTGTGTGCATAAAGGACGGACAGGGTTTCCATCTCCAGTTTATAACATGTGGGTGTTTTATACACACCTGTCAGGGGCATGTTGACTGACCTAGGGTGGATGATGGGCTTCCTAATCCTGGTCAAAATATCTCAAAGAAAACACACACACACACACACACACACACACACACACACACACACACACACACACCATACATCTGAAAACCAGCTTTGGGACACTCACACAAAAGAAGAAAGCAAAAATAACAAGACACAAGGGCTGATCTTCAGATTTACCGATCAGTGAGGGGCTCTGCATAGTCCCTGCCCTGGCTGAGGGGCAGGGAACACAGGGCTCTGGGTAGCAGGAGTCTAGGAATACCAGCAAGCTCCCCTCTGTACCTCAGATCGAGGTCTCTTGTAACTTGCATTCATATAAAACTCACGGTCACGGAGTCGATGCTGACTCATAGCCACCCCCTGGGGGTTTCTGAGACAGTAACTTTATGGGAGTAGAAAGCCTAGTCTTTCTCCCGAGGAGCTGCTGGTGGTTTTGAACTCCCGACCCTGAGGATCGCAGCCCAACTGGTAACCCCTAGACCACCAGGGCTCCTGTATTCACACGGGCAGGATAAAGATGAAAGGGTCTGACGCATAAGGGGGCCATTGAGCAACCACGCTGATTCTGTGAGGACCTAAATCCCTGTCAGATCAATCCTTCGACCCAAGCCTGCGTTGACAGAACAGGAGGATATGTCAAGACCCCTTCTGTAAGCCAGCAGGTGATAACTGGGGGCAGGGCCATATGCCCGTGATCTGGCCGCCTGCCCACGGAGGTGTGCTTGGTGACACATTTTATTAAAGGACAAACCGCTCTTTTGTAACATCCTGGCCGGTCCATCTGAGCCCCACTTGTTGCCCCTTTGAGAACTGCCCGGCCTGCTGGGCTGGGAACACCTCACAGAGCTCCCTGTGCATTGAGCGCTGCCGCCGTTGCCGAGGACTTCACATGGCGATATTTATAATCTGCTCCTTAGAACACAGCTCATCTTTCCTAAAAGCCAGGGAGCAGGCAGTCACTGCAAGCCTGCCAGACAGCCTCTGCCGCCCGCCCGTGGCAGAAGCTCTGGGTACATGGCTCTCCTCTCAGATGACATTTTAAATCACAGGTATTAAATCAAGCTGAATGTGGGTCCGGGACATTAGAGGGACTCACAAGGGCTATTAATCCAGATTGTCAACCTACATGACACCCCAGGACTCTCATTCATGAGAGCAGTCCAGATCTCGCAGATAATGGCTTATTGGCCAGGTACCTAAATACTCCCAGATCCCTCCCGCCCCACACAGCAGATGATCTCTGAGCAGCAGTGTCAGGGCGGCAGAGGAGTGCTAGAGGAAATCTCAAACATGCACTTGCTCCTGCGTTTCACTCCCTCCGTTTTCATGAGCTCTGTGTGCACAGGCCGCAGGGGACGAGGCTTTGGGGATACCCACCCCTACAAAGGGGTGGGCAGGGTTATGCTGGCTTCGTCTTATTCCAGAGTCACAGACTAAATGTCCAGGGGCCCAGGGCTAGGTTGCTACCCCCAAGCTTGCTGGTTCGAACCCCCCGCATGAGAGGAAGCCCCAGAAATTTGTTCCTCTTAAGAATGTCACCCGGACACCCCCGTGGGGTAGGTCTACTGTCGTGCAGAGTCACTGTGAGTCGGAAACAGGTCTCCAAGGGCAACAGGCGCAGAAAGGACAGCAGTTTGAAATACAGCTGGGTGAGCGGGCCTTGGTGGTGTAGCGGGTTATCACTGGCCTGCTAACCACAGAGTCAGCAGTTTGAAACCACCTGCCTGCTCCACGGGAGAAAGATGAGGCTGCGTCTTCCTGTGAAGGGTGACAGTCTTGGGACCCCCGGTGGCAGTCGTCCCCTGCCCTGCAGGGTCACAGTGAGTGGGAATGGGTCTGATGGGATGCCGCGGAGCTCCTTGGAGACGCTGCTTCACAAGGCTGCTTCAGCAGGGTGGGCCTGCAGTGCCAGTGTCGACTGGGGAAGATGGCAGGCAGGCGCTGGGCGTTCAGCTTGTCCCCCGTGCCCTTCTTCCAGAATGACTGACTCTTACAGAAGCACAGAGTTTTTCCAGGGATCTAGTCTAACACGATCCAGCACCTGGTGACACAGAAGGGAAGGGGCAGGCCCAGCTTCACGGAACTAATGAGCAGTGAGCTGGAAGCATGCGACCCGACCCACATCCTCTATTGCTCTCCTGGGCAAATGAGAGTCTGGGATCTTGGGCACCATCGACATGCAAATTCATTCATTAATATGCATATGATGTCCATCTTAATGTGGTCCATTGGTCACAGCTAATGAGATACTCCCCGATTCTGGTTCAGGATGGCAAGGAAAATCAGGTGGCCGGAGGGAAGAAGTCTGGCGTCTGAGGGCCCTGCCCTGGGCTGCTTCCGATGGCAAATGCCTGGGTGGAGCGACTTGCCTCCCCTCTAGAGCGGGTGGGAGGTGGCTTCTCCCGTGAAGGGCCGAGGCCCTCTGGTGGAGGAACAGGAGAAGTCTCCGGGCCTGAGGGCTCCGCAAGTCCATGCTGGTGGTTTGGAACTGGCTCCTAGGAAGCTGGCAGGCCCAGGCGTAACCACTGCACAGCCGGGGCTCCGTGCCACACCTGAAGGAAGGGGCAAACATGAGGCTCGGAAGCACACGCCGGTCTCTCACACAGGTTATTCTGGCCGGAGCACGGCACCGGAAAGCCCGTCTTCCTCAAGCTGTGGAGAAATCCAGCTGGTACCGCACCCTCACTCAACACCCAACGGAGAAGGCGAGGCTGTGACCTCCGCAAAGGGCACCCGTGAGGCTGGCCTCGGTGCCACCAGAGCGCGGCGCTGTCGGTGGGGAGGGGGGGATTTATGTGACCCCAGGACAGTGAGTTGGGGGACGTTTAAAGGGTGGGAAAGAGCCCACACTTTATTTATTTATTTTTTATTTTATTTTATTTTTTAAAACATTTTATTAGGGGCTCATACAACTGTTATCGCAATCCATACACACATCAATTGTGTAAAGCACAT